CCAAGGTTGCTCTATTAAGGAAAGTGCATACCAATTCCTCATCCAGAATCAGTCGACCCCAATAGGCATATGCTGTGCAGCAACCTTCTGTTCCCAAAATGTTAACAAACATAATACTAACCTTCGTTGCCTTCGTTGGAGCGTTATTAAGAGCGTTAATAGAAGCATTGATAGGAGCGTTGTTAGGAGAGTTGTTGTTTGGAGAGTTGTTGTTAGGAGAGTTGTCGTTAGAATAGTTGTCTTAGGAGAGTTGTTGTTAAGAGCGTTGTTATTAGAAGAAGCTACTTCAAAATTAAAATTTCAAATAAAAAAGATTTTTTGAAAAAGTGTTTTAAGTTAAAAAAACTGACAACTAAGAAATTATTCGCGTAAGCAAGATAAAAGTGTAAACAAGATAAAAGTGTAAACAAGATAAAAGTGTAAACAAGATAGAAATGTAAACAAGATAGAAAACACGAAGGTTTGTTTACATACAGTCGACCCTCCATATAGTCACCCCATACAATCACATCATATGTAATCACATTTCCAAACTATGATTTAATTTATAAGAAAAAAACCTCCAAATAAGCACCACCCTTTTATAAGCACATTTCTAAAAAAATTTACTATGTGCCCAACTGTGTGAGGACGTATTTTCAATATCGCATAAATCACATGGACTTTAACCAATCATATTTCAATTATTTTAATGTGAATATCATTCTAATTTTATCTATTTGATTTATGCGTTTGTATAAAAATTCTTTTTACCCCATGTATTTTAAAAGTCAACTGCAAAATTCTATTTAATGTTCTTATTCAATGTGTTTGCTAAAAAAAAATTTTCATTGTTATTTGTTACAATGATTTTAAAGTTAGCGGCTACATTTTAAATTAACGTTTTAGTATTCAAAATCGATCCTAATTTTAGGTTCAATTTTCGGATTCCGAACCTAAATCAGGACTAGCTGAACCGGGAACCGGACATTTCTAAAAAATCGTAGAGTATGGCTTTAATGCTTCCACTTCGTTTCCCTCAGCTCCAGCCAATTAGTTATAATGAAATGCGTCAAAGAGTGGGAAGATGGGTTTGACGCATTGTTATCATAGTTAAATTTGACAAACAAGTCGTAACGAAGTATAATATTGTTAATTTTATAAATAAAATTTTTATTAGTAGTAATAAAATTTATAAGTTTAATTAATAAATAGCCAAAATAATTAAAATTTTATAATATCACTAACAAGTAGTTTAAATAACACAAAAAATAAATTATAATATTTAATAAGTTTATATTTAATTAAAATACAATATAAAAGAACTACTGCTAAATTTTTTATATTTATATTCTTTTTTAGCAAACAAAATTTTAAATAAAATATTTTGATAACTAGAGTAGTTAATGGAGTAACAGACTCAAGCACTTCGAAGTAGACCGAAACCCAAGGTGGAAATTATATCTTTAAATTTCGGAGCAACCTGAAATAGCTATGAAGAAACCCAAAACCAAATGCTAATATTACTGGAGTAGGTTATAGATTAAGTTAATATAACCCAATATAACATAATTTATTAACAAATCTATTAATAACTACTTGACTAAATTGAATAAAAAAAAATTTTTATTCACTATTATTATAATATCTTTACACAATATTTTTAAAAAAATTAAAAATATTTATTAAATAAAAGTATATAAATTTTTTAAATCTTTACTATATTTTGCAATAATTTAACTAAATTTAATAATACTGTGTTTTTTTTTATTTGAATATTATATGTTTGAAGAACTTAAATAAAAATTTTATTAAATCTAAAATATTAAATATTTTCAATTATTATAAAATGCACCTATTGTGTTTAACACCATATATATAAAATTGGTTTTAATAAAATTTAGGATTAGGATGCATTTTTAATATGAAATACTGAAATAGGGGCTTACATAAAATTTTAGGTTGCCTAAGGTTTTCGGGGTCCTGAACATTTTTACTTAGAATCAGACCTAATTACTTAGTTTTTGAGAAATAACATCTATGTTGTTCAGAACCATAGGTTTATTTTAGTAAACTTGAATATTTTAATAACTATTTGATTAAATATAATAAAATTTTTTTATTTAAATTTTTTGACTTGTAAAATTCAAATAAATTCATCTAGCTTTTTTTTTTTTTTTGATTTTATACAATAAAGATAGGCACCAGTCACAGTGCTAACATTTATTAGATAACATTTTTGGGGATGGGATCAAAACGAAACTTACCTTAGTATAAAGTTAAGACTGGGGCCTCTCTAATAATGAATTTTAGGTACCGTAAACTGCTGACTTTTATACCCTATGATTTATACCTGATATTATTTAGTGGCCTAATTTTTGATTTATACTTCAAAGAGAAATATCCGGGCGTATGTATGTACGCACATACATATGTATATAGCAGTTTAAACAATGTACCTCCTTTCTTCAATATCCCAGATACATACGTCAATGTAAACACCCGGATACAAGAATCAGCAATTTAGGTATAAATTTAAGAGCCCTTATAGCTGATTAGTTTAGTAATCTCAAATTAGATACCTAATAAACTCGGGTGGCCTTGTATAAATCAGAATGTTTAACTCGAATGACTTCTCAAAACCTGAATCTGTCAAAACAAATTTCTGATCTAATTTGTGATTACAATCATGAATTAGATCAGAAATACAACTCGCTATACCGTGATAATGTGATTTTCCTTTTTAAATGAGTTCTTTCTGCTTACCATCTTACTTGACCAGAGGCATTAACATTTGGTATGCTATCTTTTTATATGCGATTTTAATTTTTTTTTTTTTTTTTGAAAGTTCTTTCTGCTTATTCTTATTATTGTATTACGCTTGATCAGGAACGTTAATGACCGATATGTTATCTTGAATGCGACATTATTCTTTGTTGACAAAGCGACACATACGTTCTTTACTACAAGCTACTTAATAATAATAATAATAATAATAATAATAATAAATCCATTTTTAAAAAACATTCTTGTGCAAGTTTTCGGTTTTAGAGAAGTGACGTACGTACGTGCGTGCTACAAAAATATCGGATATTAAAAGTGATACATGCTATGAAAAAGACCAGAACACTGATCGAGTATCACAATTCTTCAGGGATTAATTCGGTACAGTGGAAATTTAAACAAGTTTTCGTCTTCCAAAGCTCATATGTAGCCTAATACTTCGCTACTGCGTATCATAAAGAAAGAAAGGCGTTATATAATAAAAATTACTAAATTTAAATATCGATTTAAAATTCTTAAGAGCTGTCAGCGCAAGCGACGGGTACACACTAGTCAAACCCTTCATGTATGCACGCTCTATAAGTGTACATCTTATATAATTTCACCTTATGTCTCAGTTCCGATTACTAAAATTACTTTCTCTAAATACCACTATAAATGCATAGTTATGGTCGGTTCTAAGGAGATGCATATCTAGAGGTTTCAGAATAAAATTTTTAACTCCCTTTGTATATATCAAATAATTGTGTAACGGTTGCAGAGGCATCCTGAACTATATAAATTTTTAACTGTATATATAACGATAACGATAAAGTTAGGATTAGCAGATCATGTGGTATGTATTGAAGGGGGTGGAAAATACCTCTATCCTACTATATTGTTCCTATGTCAAAATATGTATCTTATATTACAATTCTGGTTATCCATCTCAGTTTTAGCGTTAAAAAACTTTCTTGTAATGAATGTTTGGGTAAAATGAAAAAAATGCCAATTTTACGTTACACTTGATTTTACCTATATCCAAAATTTTCGTCGCACGAAAATACTTAACTAAATTAATAATTATCAAACGTACCTATAATGTTATTATATCGATGTTTTTTTTATTTGGTTTAAACATTTTTACTAAATTTTTCACTTTAGTTAGAGTATTATACCAATCAATTATAAGTCAATAAAATTAAGTGAATAAAATCAAATTTTTTAGTCATCAAAAAAAACATTTGACGCAAAATTGCCATATGGCTTTTCCAAATAACATTCCAAACACAATTGTACTATTTAATTCTGTACTCTATTACGCCTTGTCTTGAACGCTCGGACATGAAAATAGGAGATCGATTAGAACAAGGATAGTTTACTTATTCAGCAGGTATTTGCATTTATATTACCTGTTAAGTATGCGTTTACTTAATAATGTAACAATGCCATTATAATGAACGATACAAAGTAACAAAGAAATGACAAATGAAAATTTATTATAATGGTCTGTGGTCCACTGCATTTTAAAGTTATAAATAAAAATTTTACCATTTTTGGTATGTCCGATGTACAAATTACTAACCTAGAATTATCGTTATGTAATATAAAAAGGAAAACTTAGTTCTAATCTTTCTTATTGACACAAAAACATGAATTTCGAAATTTCTATACAAGATTTGATTCGAGTAGTTGGGATATTCGCATCAATCTACGTATTGAAATGCGTTTATGACGTACGTATCATTATAAATAATCTAACGCTAATAAATTTTTGCTGAGGCATATATAGATTAATGTTTACTTTGAAATTTGGGGATCAAGATTATATACATTGCATATTTTGGTCCGCTCAGTAAGATTCCAGGACCTAAAGTCTCTCATTTAACGAAATTTTATATTGGAGTGAAGCAAATTAACGGACAAAGGTATGCTCTAAAATTATAAAATGCCGTGTTATTAGCTGATCTATTTTATAATTATTTCGATATTTATTCAGATGGAAATGGCTACAAAATGAAATTGTTCCAAAATACGGAAAGATAGTTCGTGTTTGTATGTTTTTCCTTTTTCAAATTCTGGTTTGAATTTTGTAAAATACTATCAAAATTTCACAAATTATGATCATTTATTATAATAGCTCCGGAAATAGTATTATTCTCTGACAAGGATATCGTTAAACAGGTATTTGTTCTTTCCACATACTGCCATTTTAAGGATTTAGTTTTCTTACTCATGATCTTTTCTTTTTATCAAGTTTTTAGTGACAAACGTAAATCAGCTTATTTCTGGATTAAGTGCATTTTTCTTTTCTTGTAATAATTACTAACATGAAAAATATTTAAATTTTTTAAAGGAATTGCCAAAAAATAGAAATTATGAACGTTTGCGCACCGACGAGAAATATTCAACCTTATTCACAGCCAGGTAAATAGACATTCTACCTCTGGTTTAAGAATATCATTTTTTCCTTAATTCTAACATTCATTTATTTAATTCAGAGATAAAGAAATTCATAAACGAAGGGTGTGTACTTTTACCTTCTATTTTTTCTACTGACAAATAAACTATTTTTACAAAGCAAACTTTATTATGCATTTAGAGACGTGTCCTATCACCCGCATTTTCAATAAAGCACCTGTCATCTTTAGAACCGTTTATGCACACTTGTACTAATGATTTAATTGCAAAAATTGATGGTGAAATTTCTAAGGGTGGTGGCAAGGCTGTCATAAATATTTATTTGTTGATTCAATATAATGCATTGGTGTGTTTTTTTAACCAAAAAAAAAAGTATGAATGTTCTGCATGAAAAAGAAGTGATTAAATTATTGTTTTTAATTTAGGACGTTATTGGGGAGACAGCTTTTGGAGGATCATTCAAGTTGGTAACAAATGGAAATCATCCTATGCCATCTAAAGTGTTTAGTGAACTAAGACGGAGAGTTATGGTTTGTATTATTTGTATTATTTAAATATACTCGTCCATATTCATAGAATCATTATTCATTTTAATTTCTCTGTTGGAAAACGCAAAATTCATATTATCATTCATTGAAATATATTTATTAGAGAAGTCTATTTCCATTTCTCAAACCATTCTTGAAGCAGGATCCTTATATTATTGATGTAATTAATTATTTCGATTATTGTTTCTTATTAAAAGTTATTACATGTTTAATTTTCTAATTTATTATTATTTAAAAAAGTTCATCAACAAAATAATAAAACAACGTCGCCAAGAATCATCGCATAAAAAGGATTTGTTACAAATGATGTTGGATACTAAAGAAGATGGTTTAACAGATTTTGAAATATACGATCAAAGTATCGAATTCCTGTAAGTATTTAAATCTTATCATTAAAAGTATTTTTGTTCTCTTATAATTTAACAAATTTTTCTCACTTTTCTCATGGAAAAAAGAATTGCGGGTAGCGACACAACAAGCTTTACAGCAACGATGATAATAATAATGTTAGTCAAACATCCTGAAGCATTGGAGAAATTAGTTAAAGAAATCGACGAAGCTTTAGCAGGAATTGGTAGTGAAGGGCCAACTCATGACCAAATAAAACATTTACCTTACTTAAATGGAGTTATTAATGAAGGACTTAGGCTCTTCCCTACTAGTAGAGGTATTTATTTTATTTTATTTGAAGTTTTCATTTTTATTGGGTGATTAATTAGTTATTAATTATTGTCTTAATGCAGATTTCGGTAATTATACATATATATATATTGTTGTATAAAAAGTATATTTCTTATGTTTTCAGAACGTTTCATCATTTTATGCTTTCTTTTTTTAAAAAAAAAAAAAGGCCCAGGTAAAGAAGCAACAGAAGATTTAGTTCTTGGTGGATATTTCATTCCGAAAGGGGTTAGCATCAATCTCTAATTGTAATTTTCTTCTTTACATTATTATAAAGCATAATTTAATAAATAAATTTGTTTGATAGACATTAGTGATAGCAAACACATTGGGGCTTCATTTATCGAAAGAATATTGGGGTGAAAATGCCAAAGAATTCGTACCAGAAAGATGGTTGGAACCCGAAAAATTGACGCCTGATTGTTTTATTCCATTTTCAGCTGGTATGTATATCTTTTTAAAATAATATTTTTGTACGTTAATAGAAAAAATTAATCTTGTTCAAATAAATGGTTTTAATAGGAGCTCGAAATTGCATTGGACTCAAGTAATTTGAATTTTTTCTTTTAAATTTCAATTTGTAATCTTTTAACATTTTCATATACGTACTAATATTATTTTAAATAGTTTTGCATGGATGGAACTTAGGCTCACAATAGCCACTTTACTATATCGCTACAATTTTAAAGACATTGAAAATCAAGAAATAGAATTATTACAATTCATTACACCAAGTTTGAAGTCTAAGGAATATAATGTCGTCGTCTCTATGCGAAACTAATTAATATCCAATAGACACGTATCATATCAGTTAATTATGAAAGTAGACATTAAAAAAAATATAATAATTTGTAATTAGCCGATATATGTTTGCACTTTTTACCGTTATGTATTCTTATAGCATTATTTTCATGTGTATTTTAATTACATATATATTTTACATATTATATTTTATATTCTTTTGCATATCACATTTGCATTAATATATTTAAATAAACGCGGGACACATTTCGGACAAAGGTTTGGACGTGGTACACAAAGGAATAAATGCTAATAATTCGAAATTTTATTATAACAGCTTTATTTAATTCATTAAGTAAAAAGTGTTTAACACTTAAGTTTACGTATAATTTAATATCTTGTATATAATTTTCTAAATAACACGTAAGTATAAACATGCTTGGACGTTCTTGAACATGGACGACCTTGCAATTTATGTACACAAGTGGGTCATGATAGTTCAGTTCAGTGAAAAAAGTTATAAACTTCATAAAAAAAAAAATAATGAATTTTTGTAACCTTCCATGAAAGTTAGCATTAATTAAATGCTGAAACTTTTAGTATGATTGCCAAAAAAAGATAAGCGTTACATAAGTCATAAATCTATATATATGGGTCCGGTCAACAAAAACACGGCTTAAGGCAAAATTGAGTTAATGATGTTATATATTGTATAAAGCAAGTTATTCTTTCGGTTCACAATGAAATTTTGTCGATGCCTATTTTTTCAAATGTAATATAGATATTATATATATAAAATGTTAGATTTTATAAATCCGGTTGTTGATTCTTGATTTATTGAACCTAGGTGCCGCACAAAAAATGCGCAGCGGATCCTCGATTTTGATTGGCTATGAACGACGATCAAAAAATTAGGCAGGAATTATTCATAACTCTGTAATGAAATCGCAGCCGACCATTAAGTGAAAATTGTTCCTGGGCCAATTTTACCATTATGGGGCTTATTTTTTAAAAATTTCTATTTTTGTAATGAAAAAAGTTAATTCCGGCCAGAAATTAGTAAACAATTATGTAATGCGGGCCAAAAATTGAAGATCCTCGGCCGTTAGCTAATCAAAATTGAGGATCTGCCGCACATTTCGTGCTGCACCTAGGTTCAATCGATAAATTGCTGCTGCGACTAAGACGAAAAAATTCTGTGATATAATACACTGTTTTTTTTAACTTAATATAGACTAATTTTGTGTGATTCTGTGATAGCAGAGGTACGGAAATTAAGTGATTTAGTTACAGGTAAGAACGTTGATGTTATACGACTGATTTTTCACACGGTGTGCAACATATAAAAAAATAAATTTACAATAC